GAATGAGGGACCCAATGCAAAATTCCCAGGTCACATGGCAGAATGCATCATAGTGACACATCGACAGACGTGACGAAAGTTTTGGTGCCCCCTTCACTTCTTCGGCGATCGCGAGTTCGTCCGGTCAAGAGTACGCCCTACCCAGAGTGAATTAGACCGTGATATTACCTAGTACATGACACTGGCATAAGAATCGTTTCTGTAAATTGTATTTTATCTCTGTACGCTAACAATGAGTCTCGGGGATATGCGTAAATAAACAGCTAATAATAATTGTTAGATTAGTAGGAATATCAGAGATTAATCTCACTACGAAATGCATTAAATGCAGTGTGAAAAGTGAACAAATTCGCATGAGTTATCAGTGGCCAAACGAGATTAATGTCAGCTTTATTTCATTTCACAATATGAATTGAATAAGATTATAGGTTAGTTATGAGTTAGCACTGCACCACGCGGAAATAATATTCTAAACAGTCACAAGAGAAATATAATATCGATTCATTAAGCTAACCGCGATTAAGAGACACTAAATGAAAGTACAATCAGATGAGTAATGGATGGACATCTATGAGTCCCAGACTAGCGAGCACACAAGAAACTACAAACCTGTAAAAGTGAACAAGAGTTACGAAAAAAATACATGTACAGATTTCAAATGAAACTGATTTACATCTCGGATGGGAAATATTCAATTAGATTAAACCTATATCTAACAAAAAGCCGTACCAATTACGGAAACCTCTCGGGATGGGTGATATGATGAATCTACCTACCAATATTCGCAACCTGAAATACTTAACATTTGCCCGCTACCTTACCACTTCATTCACTCCCTCTCCCCTTATATGTAACACTGTCGAACAATCAGAGCTACGCTGATTACGTGGCAAAACTTCACTTCGACCATTTCGACGAAACAGGGCTTTCGTACACAGCTGTGCAACTTACCCATGCACAAACACATATTGTTGAAGAAATGCAACTATCCTGGTAAACGTGTAGGAACAGCATACATCTATTCATCAATTAAGTTCAAAGGGCACGAGCGCGAGCACGTGTGATGAGATGTCGAATCTGTTGTTACGCTCGATACGATACGGTTTAAACTACTTGCATTCGACTATATTCACTTAGATGGGGCATCCATGTTTTTGGTGAGATGAAGTAAAAGGCAAACAAAACTCAATGCAATGACTTGAAAATGAACTTAAATAAGCAAAGGAGTTTTGCATAACATTGGTGAAAGTGAATCAAACACCAGTTACTGGTACATTTATGAACGGTACAGTTTAAGTTCCCCTGCAGTGTACCTGCGACCGGTGGTGTAGTGTGGATATAACGGATAATACTTATTCGAACGACACAAGATCTGATCACTCCTCAGTTAACGGAGGGAACTCTCAATCCATGTCGTTATTCGCAGCGTTAGGTCATAGTTTATCAAGTCCCATACCTTTTCCTCGTAATCAACAGTAAGGAGTAAGGAGTCCACAGCCCACTTGTATTATACAATGCGGAAACGATCGAGAATATTAAAAAATTAGGTTAGCTGAATTCATTTCCATCCTCAATTGGGCACTCAATTATAAGATCTATTCGCCACCATTCTCGGTCGGAAGTTAGACGATCGACTTACCAACCCTTCCCCCCGCCCCACCACCACCAATATCTCCCTTCCTCTTTCTCGTCAAATCACACGACTGACATAATCAGGTAGCAGTCCACACTAAATCGCTTAAGCTTCACAGACTCCCTAGGTCTGTTAAACAGTTCGGTGGAAGTATATCCAACCTTGATGACACCTAGTAATAGCAATAATTAGCAATAATTCACATGAAATCATTAACTCTCTTATGCATTAGATGTCCAAGACCATAGCAGGGAAACATAAACAGGTTATCTGGTTCTGTGGTACCTCGAGACGTAATAGTCACGTAGAGATACAAGGCTATATCTGCGACCGCTTCACTTTTGTTTATGTTAGCACCGTTCTGATCAGAGCGGACCCAGACAACCCCAGAACCAGTAAGAATTTACTTCTCTTTTCCTATCCATTGCTTATATAAGAGACTTCTTAGTGTGAAAAATGAATCTTATTTACACCACCTCGTTGCAATGCACCCTCTTAGAAAACACAAACGTCCACCCATTTCGTG